ACGACAATAAATAAATGATATCTAGGTAAGTAGATACCAAGTAGTCGTCGGCCTCGACGGGTCCTCTCATTATTGATCTAAAACATGAAAAACAATAGGACATAAATTAGGATGACGAGATTGAAAATCTAACGACTTATAAGTAATAAGACATTCTTTAGCAATTTACAAAAAAATATGGATCTTGATTACTGTAGCTTTTTAGAAAAATAGTGAATTTCTAATCTATGGAGCTACCTGTTATATTTTCAAGAAGTATACCATACTTCTTTACATAGTATAAAATGAAGTCGCTTTTTTTTCTTGTACGCTTAGATCTTACAAACTACGCAGTGGAGTCCTCGCCAATAGAGAGAGTGACTCAAGAGGGAGGTTTATGTCCAAAATACATGCATACTTGTACAGAAAATCCGAGAATTTGAAGGTTTTGTAATGTGAAGTCATAAAAACATGTTTGCAAACGCTGGCTAAAGCTAAAACGGGATTGAAAAAGTAATGTACTACGGAATTATACATATATCTTAAAAATATCTTAATAGTAGGCCAAAACCTCCTTCCTAATGAGAGGCTAATGGTATATGTCTATCGCTTAAAGATAACCCACAGTAATCATTTTTATGTTTTACATATTACAAAAAATAATTCGTAATTTACGAAGCTATTTTGAACAATACAGTATCATTCCTTATCGAAATAAATACGTTATACGTTGTACATTTAATGTAGTAATAAGAGATTTAGAATGCAGGGGTAAAGCGGCCGTGGTTGCGTCGGGCCGTACGTCCGTGCCAGTTGGCAGTGGCCGGCAGGAGCGGCGCGGGAGTATAAATATTGCATATATGTATAGATGTCCTGTAGTATAGTCTTATCATAATAATAGTACTCGTATAATTAATTACTACACACTGACACCACATTAGTAGTATTATTAATACTATATGAAATCAAACTCAAGTGTACTTATATTCCACTATTTAATTATATGTTTATTAGTATGGTATATGAAAGTGAGTTTGTTTGTTTGTTACCCTTTCACGCCGAAACCAAGAAACTGATTTTTAAAACTCTTTCACTAATGGCGAGCTGCATTATCAGCGAGTAACAGAGTCTACCTTTTACCGCGATAACCGACATACACGCAAAAGCTAGTATAGTATACGATAATAATAATAATACTATACACAATTTTGGGTCAACCACTGTCAAATGTATTGATTTTTGTAAAGAAGCTACTAGTTAAACCGAAAGTAATGCAAAACAAAATTCATTGTTCCACTTTACAGTAATGCAATGTTTATAATAAATATTTAAAAAATTGCAAATATCCTAAATAAGGTATTTTTCTCAATGGGTCCCGTCAAAATTTTGTACTATAAGCAACCCTAAAATCTTAATGTATAAATTTATTTAATATTTTTCAGTTATTTTATGTTGTACAAATATGCAAAACGCATGGTAGCATGACACTACGTCACCTAGTCAGTAAACAATTGTTGAATAATTGAATATTTTATTTCCACCGTGTATTTTACTTGATACCAAACGAAAGAATAAAGTATAAATCTACATTAAATAAGCTCTTAAATAAAAGGATTTCATTTACCAAAACTCATGAATTTTGTTTTAATCCATTTATGGTATGTTAACTGGTTGAACGTCCTTTTGACACATCTGTCGAAAACACACCTATTAGATAACCAATACTATAAATTATGATAACATAACTAGAAAGTAAAAAATGGGATAAAATTATCACTTATTGGCGCCGTGAGCTGAAAAAACCTGTAGTTTTTAACCTAGTTGGGCAATGGAGGCTATCTCAGGTTTAATGTGTAACTTATACTAGTATTATGTTGAATATTTTTTATTTATGTTAGGGGATCGACGAGCAGGTGTGCAAGCTCTTTGAAAGAGTGATTGCAAGGCGCCTCGTCAAGCATCTCGTGATGGTTGGGCCGGATCTGGCGGACAACCAGTACGGTTTCCGTCAGGGGCGCTCCACCGTGGATGCGATCATGCGCGTGAAGGCTCTGGCGGAGGAAGCAGTCTCCCGGGGCGAAGTGGTGTTGGCGGTGTCCTTGGACATCGCCAACGCGTTCAACACTATGCCCTGGAGCTGCATCAGGGAGGCGCTCGTGTATCACGAAGTGCCTCTCTACCTCCGCCGCATAGTCGGGGCATATTTGTCGGAGAGAGCCGTCGTCTACCCCAGTAAGACCGGTCTCGGTAGGCGTGAAATGTCGTGCGGTGTTCCGCAGGGGTCGGTGTTAGGGCCACTCTTGTGGAACATCGGCTACGACTGGGTGCTTCGTGGTGCCTTCTTGGATGGTGTCGCCGTCGTGTGCTACGCGGACGACACACTCGTGACGGCGCGCGGCAAGACGCACCACGAGGCAACCCTGAGGGCCACGGCCGGGGTTGCCCAAGTCGTTGAGCGTATCCGGCGGCTGGGTCTCGAGGTGGCTCTGCACAAGTCCGAGGCCCTGTTCTTCCACGGGCTTCGGAGGAAGCCGCCTGAGGGATCTAGCCTCACGGTAGGAGGCACTCGCATCGGCATCGAGCCCTCGATCAAGTATCTGGGGCTCGTACTCGATGGCCGATGGGACTTCGGATATCATTTCCGAGGTCTGGTCCCCAAGTTGGTTGGGGCAGCGCGTGCGTTGGCGCGGCTGCTGCCCAACATGAAGGGACCCGATGACTCCTGCCGGAGACTCTACTCGGGGGTTGTGCGGTCCATGGCCCTTTACGAGTGCCCAGTATGGGCGGGGGCCCTGAAGGCCAGCAACGTCGCGATACTGCGGCGACCGCAGCGAATGCTGGCCATCAGGATCATAAGGGGGTACCGCACGATCTCCTTCGAGGCGGCGAGTCTCCTGGCCGGAACTCCACCGTGGGACCTGGAGGCGAGAGCCCTTGCAGCACTGTATCAGTGGCGCAAGGAGGCGCAGGAGTTGGGTCGATACCCCGAGATTCGAGAAATCGATGACCGGAAATCCCAACTCCGCCAGGTCATCATAGGGGAGTGGAGGGAACGACTCGGGCAACCGAGCGCCGGGCACGCCGTCATTGCGGCGGTAAGACCCGTTATGGAGGATTGGCTCGAGAGGCGTCACGGGACCCTCTCATACCGATTGACGCAGGTGATCACTGGGAAGGGATGTTTCGGAGATCACCTGTGTCTGATCCGCAAGGAGCCAACGCCTGAGTGCCACCACTGCGATGGCCAGACCGTGGACACGGCTCTCCACACGCTGGCAGAGTGCCCGGCGTGGGTTGAGCAGAGGCGAGACCTCGTGGCGGCCATCGGAGTGGGAGTTCTCTCGCTCGATAGCCTGATTGCGGCTATCGTGCGGAGCGAGAGTGCGTGGAACTCTGCCGTCTCCTTCTGCGAGCAAGTTATGCTCGCGAAGGAGACGGCGGAGCGGGAGCGGGAGAGGTTTAGAACTCTCCCGGCCCGCCAAGCCCGGGCACGGGCCAGGCAGCGCAGGCGACTCAGGCGCCGGAGGTCGCAGAACGACCTCCGTCCTCCATAAGCGCAGGCCTGGGGGTGACAGGTGAGGCCATCTGTCACCCTAGCAGAAGCAGGCCGGGGTGGCGGCGAGCGCGTTGCGAAGCGCGCTCGCTTCCAGGGAGCACAGGGAACATGGGGTTCCCACACGGGGCGGGGGTCGTCTACTCGTCTGTAGATGACCCGAGGTATGTCGGGGCACCAGGGCCTTCCTTTCTAGGGTATACCTGGTTCCCCGGCTATTAGTACCCGGCGAAGGCGTGCGGTTTTAGTCGGTTCGAGTCCGACATGCCACCGACAGGTGGTATCCGAGGGGATTTCCGCACGGAAAAAAAAAAAAAAAAAAAAAAAAAAAAGGGGATCGACGAGCAGACGGATGACCTGGTGGAAAGTGACCATCGCCGCCCATGAACGTCTGCAACTCAGGAGTCACAAACGTGTTGCCGGCCTATTTGTTATGCCCTTGTTTATTTTTTGGTACAATAAATATTATTATTATGAAAAAATAGTTTTAAATTACAAATTAAATTATCTAAATTAATTATATCTAAATATGTATTCATCCAAAAATTATATTAAAACACAACGCACACCAATTTTTATTCTTAAATTATATTTTAAAAATTAAAAATGAGCCATGTTTCAGTCATATTATTATTATTTTCTTTATTACATTTTTATAAACATATTGATAGCATTTTAAGTATATGTATTACAAAAGAAAAAAAAATATGACGATAATTTCGCCGAGTGATTGAGATTCATCAATAGTCTTTAATAGTCCACTGTTTCAAAGGCCTACTAAACTTTATTATTTTATTATTTTTATTGAGGCAGCCTTAGTTTTTTTTTAATACAAGTGTAAGTGGATCCGTTATATCCTAACAAGGATGATCCTCCAGATAAGAGAGGCGTATACGAGTCACTGTCTCTGGCCTGCTTCTGAAAGGATAACGGTCAGTCGGACCCGTTACACACTCATGGAAGTTAGCGATAATTATGCGCCTTTTGGCGCCTGGTGCATCTGCTGTAGAAAGGCAGAGGTTTTATCCTCTTCCGTTATTGTTCCACCGCTTCTTTGGCCAACATCACCTCCTCGGCAAACCAAACGGAAGAATCTCACGCACTCTTACTTTGGACCATGGACAGAACCAAAGTCTCTCTAGCCAATCCAATCCACTCCATCCAATATCTAGCCAGTCCTCCATGATGGATGTTTGTAAATACATGATATTGTTTTAATTGAGGCAGCCCTAAAGAAGTGTAATATAAATGTTTGTCCTTGAAGCTTAGCGTCAAGTAGGTACAGATGGAATTGTTTTATTATTTCTTTGTATTTTTTTGTTTTGTATATCATTAATGACTTTTATATATAAGTATCTGACTGCCAAATGTCAAATGTTCACAAACTCTGTTCGTGAACTGTGTACCATTTCGGTCCAGAAGTATGATGTCCATATACTTAACGCTTTTTCTTATCTATAATGTTTTTATGTTTGGAGAATCCGCTTTTGGTAAGTCTATTTTGAATAAATAATTATTAATGTAACTAATGAAAAATAAAAGTAAAATGTTTCAACCAACTGCCTTAATCTGATTGTTATAATAATCGTTTATAAATTATTATTTTAATTGTTTTGAATATATATTTTTACTTGCTACCTAATTCATTGTTATAATGTGCCACTCATTGCGATAAAATAATAATATTTAGGATATTTATTATAACCATAAATACTTCTGCTATGTTGTTATTAAACATAATGTAATCATTACAATACACATAAGTTAGTTTTTAAGATATTTATTGTACAATACATTGTTTATGTTCCTTAAATTGTCTTAAATCCTTAATCATTTAACACTTTATGTTACAGCGGATACTTTACTCAAATGTAAAATAAAAGATAAGAAGTGTCAAATGGAGTTTATGCAGAAAATTATAGTGGATATTTCAGAAACTGGTGCGCTGGAGATCGGTATACCACCTATAGACCCCTTTATGTTAACAAATATAAGCGTAAATGTGCTTAATTCTATCGATATTACTTTGAAGGAAGGCCATGCCAAAGGTATTAAGAACTGCATAATTGACAGATTCGAGTAAGTATTATTTTTGATATCTCGATCAGTGAAACTGTTTAATATCAAAAACGATACTATTTCATCATCATCATCATCTAGCATCATCAGCAGTAGACTATTAAAGACTGTTGATGATGATGATGATGAAATTATAATAAAACTAAATTATAGAAAACATGACAATTATAGTAGGCCAAAGGAAAGGAGCCACACGCGGTTACCGCACCATGTTGACCATGGTGGCGAGCGCATAGACCGGAACTCGGAATTGGGATTTGGAGGCGGAAGTGCTCGCCGATATATATCGGCGGACGAGTGAGTTCGCGAAGTAGAAGAAGTACCGGGCAGCGGAGTGATTAGACGGGTTTTTCCCTCCCCCCGCCATAACGGCGAACCGCGAGGAGACGACGTCCACGTGAGCCGGACGTCGCCTAAATAGAGAATGTGCCCGAAGGTGGTGCCCGCGCCATTGCGGGCGGAGGCTAGGAGGGGTTCGGATGTCTTAATCACAGCAGTTCCCGGATCCCTCCTATTACCGGCGCACACCGTGTGGTTTTAGTCGGTCCGATTCCGACACCTCCACACGGAAAAAAACCGGTCAGGTACGAGTTGCACTCGTGCGCCGAGGGTTTCGTACCTACCCTTATTTTACGTAGATTTTCGCGAAAAGTTGTAAGTACCAAAATTTATCTTAATTTTCCACTTTTTTTATTTTTTTGAATTATTCCCTTATTTGTGCTGTAAGACGTTTCTTTTTGCCAAATTTCGTGATTCTAGGTCAACGGGAACTACCATATAGGTTGACCCAAAACCTATAGGGCACTTCCGGTTGACCTAGAGTTGTCAATTTTGGTTAAAAGTAAGGTCTTACAGAGCACAAGTAAAGAGAAAATTTTGAAAAAAATAAAAGTGGAAAATTAAGGTGAATTTTGGTACTTACAAGATTTCGCGAAAATCGAAATTTGCCTATATCTTTTTATTGTGTTGGCTCAAGACCTTGATTGTTATACACCTAACAGGGACCATAGACCTCAGTATCTGGTATAAATTTCAAGCTGCTAGGTCTACCCGTTCCTGAGAAAATCGGTGGTGACACACGGACAGACGGACAAGAAAGTGATCTTATAAGGGTTCCTTTTTTTACTTTTTGAGGTACGGAATCCAATACAAAAAGAGGATCCTCCGACCAGGCGAGGTGATCATGCCTGGCAAGCCGCGGCACAACGTTTGATGTTTGGGAAGTTGTATAAATGCTAATAGTCAAGAGAATTCTTTATATCGCGATACAGGATTAGCAATTCTCATTCAGTAGTTACGTTAAGATGTAAATCGAGACTTGATGTGTTTAGTTTTAACCGTCCTTGTGATCACGAGTAAACTCCAATTACTTAAGTACGTCCAATTTAGTGGTGAAGATAATTATAAGTTACCCGACTGTGACGGACGCCGATGCCTTAAAAATAGTTAGAAGCCAGCATTTACATTGAAAGACCTTGTGTACGACATGACGTGTGAAAGCTAACCTTGTGTTAAATAACTATTATACCATCACGGACTAACTCTGCATATAAAAGTTGTACACTAGTATAAAACCTGTTTTGTATCAGATAAAAAAAATATTAATAATAAATTACAAAATAATGGTTAACTAGTTTTAGTACAATTTGTGTACGAGTGTAAACACACGGACATAATAATCAACATCTATGTCATATCAAATACGTGCGAAGATTTTTTGCATGTATTGTTTAAGGTGACTCACATAGACAGAAACTTGACATTTGAAATAGTTAAAGTTAACATATAGAAAGAAGTCTAGAAAGCTAAAATTTAAATTTGTTTTTAAGATTAACAAAAATAATAGCTCAAATTAGTCTGGTACGAGACCTAAAATCCCATTTTAACCTATTTGACTGACCTACCTTGCCAAAGAGTAAGCCAAATAAGCTCCAGATTTGATGCACCACCAATAACCCTATGGGAAAATCTGTTTAATAACTTTCTCATTAATTGTTACCTAATAACAATTAGTTAACTAACAACATGTTATAGTGACCGTATCAATATTAAATATCTTTATTTTTTTTAATATAAGAGTATAGATTTTTTTTTTTGTGTAAATGCTTCTAAGTCTATTGTGTTAATAAGTTCTTTGTTTAAAAATAATATTCTGTTTTATTTCAAGTTTGTTTTGTAGTATTTAGAAGTCAAACGCCAAAAATTATGAAATAACTATGTTTCAGGCACAGTCTGGAAAATGAACGAGCATATTTGGATATGACGTGTAATATTACCGTGAAAGGGAAATACAAAGTGTTTGTATCGAATAATCTATTCAAAGATATTTTCAATGGAGAATCATTGCGTGGTGAAGGAAATGGAAAAGTTAAAATTGGTAATAATTAATATATTTTTTCACGTTGGAACAGTAAATCATTTACTACAACACTGAAGTAAACCTTCAGTAATCCACCGCAAGCCTTTCAGGATTTTAGGATTTTTAAGTATACTTTTAATAAATATTTTATTACAAGTATACTTAAAATCATCCAAGCTGCATCGGATTTCACTCTACATTTTCTTCCTATAATTTTTTTACTTACTTTTAGTTAATACAGTGAACTCGATTGAGTGTTAGGAAATATGATATGCAATTTAATATTTTTCTCATAAAATGTATAATTATCTTAACTCTTTTTTTAGAAAAACTGAAAGTAAAATTTGATTGGTCCTACTCTATCCAAAAACGAAATGGAGAGATCTATATCAAATGTAAGGCCGATAAAACAAGTTATAAGTATGAAATAATGGGCAACATGTTGTTCGCTGCTGACAACCTTTATATAGGAGATGTCGAGTCCAGTGAGTATTCAAATATAACTTAACAAGTAAAATATTTTCTAGAAAATAAGATATTGATCTGGAATTATTTAAAATTGAAAGTACATCAAATGTAACACTCTTTTTTCTGATTTTTTATTATCTTTTAATATTAAAGTACAATAACATACATTAAAACTTATTATTACTAGCATTGTTCTAATTGATGATATTCGCAGGTAAGGTCGTAACCGGACTATTGAACGAAAATTGGAAAGTTCTTGTGGTCCCATTCTTACAGCCTTTTATGGATAAAGCCATGGAGTACAGCTTGGACTATCTGCACAAATTCTTTGACAATGTCCCTCTGAAACACTACATAACCGATGACTTATCTGCTTATGCAAGACACTGATAGCTAGAAACAAATATCTGAACTTGTATTTAAAACCCCTACTTTTCCATGACACACATATTCAGTAAAATAAAGGATAATTTGTTAATAATCAAAATTAAGCTTTTAAATATATAATATTGTTTATAAAAAATGTACTTTTTTGATGCAATGCATCACTATTACTACTATACTAGCGTACACATATTCAGTATATTTGAAATCCACATACGATAAACCAGAATCGCACAAAATCATAATCCTGCCTAAAATTATCTCAAAACATCAAAAGTTGCCTTAGCAGTTTCATATGTAGGAATAAACAAAGAAAATAAAAAAGAAAATTAATGAATGTACAACTCACTTTGCCAACGACCGCTGTGTTTTATGGCCATCAGTTTTATGCTCATAATGTGCTCTCAGAAACATAAATACCATTATACTGGATGATTTACCTTTCTTATTAAATATATTACGAAAAGTATTTGAATTATTATTTCACTCTATTGTACCATTCTGAATATAGATCCTAGAGGCATAGTAAATTTTTATGAAAGTTGTTTTAGTAAAATTTTGATGATTTAAATTAAGACAAGACATTGTCTGTTATAGAATTTTTAGTAACTGTGACATCTACGTGGTGAGCTGACATAGGATACCAACCATAGGAAATATAGAAACCTGTAAGGAATCTATACTTGTGCGAGTGCCTGAAAAAATATTCTGGCATAAAGACTCCGAAAGGTTCAATTGGTTTCAAATCATAAAAGAACAGTGAAAAGCCAAATATTCCTATCCCAAATAATCTTAAACGTATTTATTTTTAATTATGAGACATTTTGCGTCAGTACAAAGATAGATTTAGATTTTAAGAACGAAACAATTTGTATTGATAAATACTTTTTTTTTCGTATTATTTTTGAAGAAACTGCTAAAGAATAATTACAACCAAATCTTAAAATAAAACGTCTAGGTCTGACTTATTTTTGTTTCAAAAACAAATACAACAAAAAACAAAATTATACATTTAACCACTCATAAGAATTTTATTTTTCTGTTAGTTTGAGCCTATCTTGGCTATTTTTCGTATTCCTTAGAAGTAGAATGAAAAGATCAGACTAAAGTATCTTTTGATTAATTTATATCAATAAAAATAGGACAATCAAAAATATTTACATGTTTTTTTCTGCACAACAGTATATTGTAGAAATCAGATACTAGGCAGCTAGAACTAATCGGCAGCTTGTATTTTTGGTTATGTGCGTGCAAATGTACCGCAATAAGATCTACTTCCCCTTCTAGTTTGTTTTTTTATCGTTATCGGGGCTTTTGGTGAAGTGGAATCGAACCGACTAAACCACATGGTGTTCCGTCACGTGTGAGTTATTATGATATATAATATATTACGTAATTATAAAAGTGACATTGAGTTTGTTTGATTGTTACGCTTTCACGCCTAAACCACTAAATCGCGGCTCCACCCGCGTGTATTTCTGTTACTCGCGATAATGTAGCTTTCTAGTGGTCAAAGAAATTTTAAAATCAAATGAATGGTTTAGACGTGAAAGCGTAACAAACTTAATTTTACATTTATAATATAAGCATAGAAGTATGGATACAGCTGTGTACAAAGACCAAGAGTTTTTGTATTGATAATTTCCACGCACAAAAATCACAGTATTATGTCTACCCGGAAAACGAAATTAGGACTCTGGATCGGAAGACTATGCAACAAAAGCTCAGGGTCACTATGAGATATAGTTCTAACATACTAATGTTAGATGGTCAGCCATAAAAGTTGTTTCCTGATAATTATATTTCTGCTGCTTCTTTAAATTTTACTTTCGCGGGACAGCGAAATTTCTTACAGTCACTCAAGTGAAGAAAACAAAAGTGTAGAATGCGGAAATTCTCGATCGTAATATCTGCAGTAGCTAAAATGCTAAAGGTTATAAGAACTCCTGATTTACGCGCTTGTTGGTCTAGTGGTTAGTGACCCTGACTGCTCAGTCGGAGGTCGTGGGTGCGATTCTCTCCCATAACCAATATTGTGTGATGAGCACGGTCATTTGTTCTGTGTCTGGGTGTAATTTATATATATTATGTAGGTATGTATTAAGAAACATTTAAGTATGTTTATCAGCAGATTAGTTACCATAGTACAGGCTCTGCCTAGTTTGGGATCAGACCGCCGTGTGTGAGATGCGTGAAATTATTATTTCGGGATGTATCCGCAGTCTAAGAGCCACTTTATGGAAAAGAAGCCAAAACGACCTTGATGATACCTTGATCTTGCCTGAAACAAAAATAATAAATCATGAGTAAGTAATTTATGTAGGTAATAAAATAAGGTAATTAGAAGACTTTTTGGTTATTGCATTAAAACTTATAACAATTTATGCAAGAATTAACTAAGTACAATATGAATATATTACAGATAATTTTGGGCTTCCACCAGTCCAAGGCCGAGCATGTAGCATCTACGCTTGTGTGTTTAGATAACATTTATGATCTCATTTAGACCTTCGCTGCTCTCACACTTTAATTAGTCATTTAAATTATTAGTTTAATTTATTTAAGTTAAGGGCGTAGATTTAAGCATAAAAATGCATTAAAGCCGTTCTTCTCAGCAGTTCTAAAGAAGCTCCTACCCAAATACTCATAATGTAAGACACTTTATTCTACCTCGATTCGTGTATGTATGAGACTAATGTATGATACAATTATAATTTTCAAACCCATCTAACCTACCAAAGCGTGGCGTTTTAAGATACAAATATTTTGAATTTCATAATCATTGCTGAAATTATAATTATGATCAGAATCTATGAATGAAGCTTTGTTTAGTCTGTACTTTACTAATGATGAAAACCAAAAAACAGGAACAAGTGGATTTTGTTTTATATATAGATTGGCAACACAAACATTTGGATACATGACAGAAGCAACTTTCATACAAGCATTTGCACATTTTCTCCCTGATACGAGTAATGCATGAAGATAGTATGTATTAGCACAATTTATCTAATACTTAATGTTCAAGTGACATGTTCCTTGTCACTTCTAACATAAACTATTTTGTAAGCATTCAAACAGAAAAATACATCATTACACATGACCATCGTTCAAATATGAATCATATTCTCAAAATGTAAAGTTTAATATTATTTGGTTGCAGGATACAAAGATGTTTCAAACACAAATTATATTGTGTCGCAAAGGGTATAAGGTTAAATCTTGAATGAAAAGTAGAGACATGAATGACGAGACGCATCTCGTTATGTTTATGTGAGTGATTATATTTACATTTCCCTCGGTGATATATTGTTACGTACATTTTTCATTGGTGACTCTTTTCATGTACGTCCTTGTCAAGTGGACACTTAAGCTTTTAAAATGTTGGTTTTCTCTGCAAATGTATTATATTTTTGTTATAAAATACTTTTGCCTGGTTGGATTAAATTCTATAGTGTTAATTTTAGTTTATTTAATTTCAATTTAAGAATTTCAAAAATAAAATATCTTTATAAATCGAGTATAAACAGAGGCGTATTAACTGTCGACAAATTGCCTAAATACAGTCAAGCTCTGATGGAGAATTATTTACACATAACAAAAAATTATCAAGAATTTAATAGAAGAGACTTCCTTGTAAGCTACCAAGGTTAATAGAAAATACTTTAATCCTCAAGTACAAAATTTATAACAATAACGGTAATAAATTTAAAAAAAATCTTTTGTTTTTGGTTAAAATTAAAGTACAAAACAAACAAAGATGTATTTAAAAAAATACACTAGTATTTAGCAATAAATTGTAATGGCATGTAGTTAACTATAATTTGATATAAACATTCCAAAAGTACAACAAAGACAATGTATTTATTAGTGTCCCAATACAATGTTCGTGTGAAACGTGTAATCTAATATATTATAGAATTTATCAACAAAAAAATAATTACGCGATACCGTGTAATATTAAAGATTATGCCGTTGTGCAAGATTTTTATCTGTAACGTATAAAAGATAGAGTGCAATTTAGAATATAAGTTATGTAAAACCACGTAACTTAACTTTAACTTTTTAAATGACAAAAGTCGCAAACCATTGCGGGTACGTTGAGCCCGTGGTTCACTCAACAAAACTTAACCGAATATGAAATGCAAACAAGACGATGACTTCTACAGAGCGGCTTAGGTATACGTGGTACTAATGACACAATTTTGTCTCCAAATTAAGGGTTGTATATTAAACTAACATAATGAAAGGTTGCGCTACGTGTAATTTTTTTCCTAATTTGCTTATATAGCCCTGAATAAGCCCGTTTGGTATAATTCTACATTTTGATTAGTGCCATCCAGTTGTCTGTAAAATGCTCGAGGTTTTACTGCTGCCTGGTGTTTTGAGTTTTGTTATGTCGATGGAACTGCGTAAGTTTTAATTAGTTAAATTAGTGCCCTTAGTTTTTTCTTTATATGCAATGTAAATATAAGCTAGTATATCTTCGTATTCCATTAAAATAAAGTATTGTTAAGTGAAAAAAGATAGGAAAACCGTCAGTTACTCAACATTAAACCATGGGGCTTAATACCAATTATAATAAGACTTACTGAAGTGGCTATTAGCATTTATCAAATTGAGAAAATCAAAAATGATCTCGCTTCGCAAAAGTGTACTTTTTATAGTTTGCGTTTAAAAAAGGAAAATAATAAATTTGCCATCGTTATATTATTGAACAAATATATTTCTGAATAAAAAAATGGTGTTTTATGTAGACACTAATATTAGGAAATGAGTAAGTCTAAATTAATGCTGAGGAACAAGGTTATTTTCATTTTTAGTTTTTGTACTTACTATATATGATATAATAGGTAAACAAGTAAATAAACTACGCAACACAAAAAATATATTAGAGTTTCTCTCTAATAATATAATAATATCTCTATAATATAATTATTATTAATTTATTTTTATTTGGGGTCCCACTAACAGAAAAAGAAGAAACTAAACAGCAATCAAAACATTTACAAATATTTAAAAAAAATAGTTTAAAATTCAAATTTACATTGCAGCTCCCTATATTTCATCATGTTCAAGAAACGATCCAAATCTAAACGACTGCGCTTTAAAATCTGCGAAAGAATCACTTTATCAATTCTCTCTAGGAGACACCGAGAGAGGATTTCACCCTTTAGATCCCCTGTATGTGGAAGAAATGTTAGTATATATACCGAACAAGCAGGGTTTGAAGATTGTTTTCAAAGATAACTATTTTACTGGATTATCGAAGCTGCATATGGAAAGTCTAAAGTGAGTTATTGTGGTTTTCACTATTATATCGCGTCAATATGTCTAAATCTAACATTCTAAAATAAAGCATTGTATTAAATAAATGTGATAATAAAAACATAATACTACGATTGACTATTACATCATCCTATTAATGAACCAAAAATCGTATTGGTATCGTCATTGGAGTCCAGTTTTTAGTCATTTTAACTCTGGTTCTATTCTGGCTTAAACATTATCCTAAGACAAAAAAAATATCCTCTTTGGTTACACAGAAGCGCCGTCTCGTATAAAGTATAAAAAGTGTTCTATGTAATTAGAGTTTTTAATAAGTTTTTCAATCAATTTATTATTTATGTTAACGTAACGATTATAACCAGACTTCCAAAGAATTTGTTATATAGCATGATGTTAAAAAAAGTTTGCCGTTTAGTTTATCACTGATGTCCTTTTAAAAGAAAATGATAACTTTAAAACCTTGATATCATAAAACATCTGTTTTGAGATATTAAACTATAAAAGTATTCAGGACTTCTTCGTTTTGAGATTTATGTTTACACCAGATATGATTCTGCAATAAACGTCTAAATTAAGGAAAATACTACTTGGAGAAACCAGAACATTGAAAATAGACCCTTGTTATTTGGTAAAATTACACAACCGTAAAATATACTCGTATTATTGCCATAAACTGCATATAATTTTTAAAAAATAAATGCCTTTAAATGATATTTTTCAAATTTCTGGTTTTTTTTTTAATTTACTTGGTGTTTTAGGTTACGACAATCTATACTGGTAGGTTATAAAAATTTTGCACTTAAATAACGTTTCACATCATTATTGAGCTCGTTACATACTTAAAAAGGTGAAGTCATTTTTTACGGTCGCAAAGTAACCTCAGTTACCGCCGCTTTTAGGAAAATTATTATTAAAAATTGAGCTCTAAAGATGTCTTCAGTGGTATTTAATCCAAAGTATATTAATTGAATATTCTGTTACTGATCGAAAAATCTGCGTAAAATAAAAACAACGAAGAATATGGGTATTCCGAAGTAAACAGGATTTTTTTTTAAATAAAAAATTCAGCTTTTCATTCTAAATTCAGTGTCTGAGCATAATATTATTAAAATTTTATCACACATTTCTCTATCAATCTGAATATAAATAAGTGAATAGAATTCTTTGTGCTCAATTTTCAGCAAATATGCAGGAATACAATATTTGAAATACATAATTAAAGTTCGTAATGTAAAAAAAGGTGCAGAGAATTACAATTTATTGTTTAATCAAATGTGAAAAAAAATTGAATCCGAGCCTATTTCCCAAATAAATTTAAAATAATAGATGCAAATATATGCTGACTTATCATATCACGTATGTCATTATAATGACAGGTCAAGTCGCACACTACATGAAATTGACATGAAACGAAATATTCAATATATTAGTTAAATATTCAATATAATATATAGATAATTCAATATATTAGTTAGATAGTTGTGATTGGAATTCGAATACTCTAAATAATCAAAAAAATGTTATCTGAAAGTTTATTTCATTAATGTAATTTCTTTCTTGTGGAAACTTCATAAAACTAGTACTAGTAATGAAATATATTTAACAAGAGTATTCAATATCATAAGAGCATTTCTATAATCTTTAATAAAACATAGTATTTCACCAACCACCTGTATAAGTTGGCAAGATAATTATACACGATATCATGGGTTACTTCAGAAAGACATCTAACATGTTTCGGTACTTCTTTTATCTACAATACACATAATACGCATATAAAAAGTAATTTTAATATTTAGAGAATACCACGTACAAAAAATAATTAACCTTTAAAAAACGTCACCATTTTGCGCCTACATCGTTATGAGTTGTAACAAATTACCCTCTTTCAACCCTTAGAGGGAGTATTTTTTCTTCTAATTGTAATGCGATCAAAAACATCCAAATAAAAAATAATTTCCTAAATTGGATCGCAAATATCGGAGTCGGAGAAACAACCGAATCGAGAATCTCTTTTTTAAGTCTGCTAAATATTAAACACCATTCAAGAATAATGAATTAAATAAACATCGGGCAGCGAGACGTACTTTTCACGTTTAGTTTTTAGACTGTGAACTTCACTTGAATTTTTTTTTGATTAAATTTTATGAACAAAACCTTCTTTTGTTCACTAAATTCAATAAAAAATGTAAATGTTTTGGCTTTAAATAAGTAATCTATTCAAATAAATAAAATTGAAGTGTCTGTTTGTCTAATGACAAAATGGTTTTTTTCATGCTCATACGGTTATTTGCACGATGCCTATGCCTAAATAAAAACCAGTTTAAATATTTTTTGTCGGTTTGTCGGTCTGTCTGTTTGTTACGGGTAAGCTTCAAAACGGCTTTACCGATATTCAAAAGTTCAATTTCGATCAAGGTATTTTTATCCCGATTTCAATGAGGTTAGAAATCATATTACTTAATTCCGAAACAATTATACTGCGACATGTCGTGGCATGCCGCAAGATACCGCAGTATGTCGTGTCATGCGGTTTAATTCTATATTTTGATCATTTTTTCTATATATGACTGGGATTAAGTATTATTAGCAGTTCTTGCTGAAGATGAAGAGAGACAAACACAAACTGATATAATGAAGCAATATCAATTCTGGGTACATAATTTGTGGTGAACACGAGAGACACTCAGTGTGAGTCAAGACGCGCGTGCTTCCTCCTTTGCTCACGCGACCAGCCCAGGCTGCACCCCATTTGCCGACAACACCACCACATCCGGCTTAAACCTTATTTCAATTAGTTTGGCTGTCATATGCCAAGACGTGGCGCGGTGTAATTATATCGAAAAAGTAAAAGTAAAATAATTTGAATTCTAAACACATTGAAATAAAGATAAAAAGAACTTGATCAGAAATAAAATACTTTACCAAGACGTACCGTGTCGCGACGTTAGTGCGTGCCGACCCTATTGAGTGGCTGGGCTTTCTGCGAGATGCCACGATGTGACGCGGTATGCTTTGACATGCTGTTTCATGTTTCATACCCTTTTTTTTTTTTTCGTGCGGAAATCCCCTCGGATACCACCTGTCGGTGGCATGTCGGACTCGAACCGGCTAAAACCGCACGCCGTCTCGGGTACTAATAGCCGGGGAACCAGGAACCCTAGAAAGGAAGTCCCTGGTGCCCCGATTCATGTTTCATACCCTGCCGTTCCGTGGCTTAACACTACGTTAGTCAGCGCCGACCCTAACACCGCACGCCGCGCCAACTCGGGCAGTAGCCGGGCAACCAAGTGTAAACTAGTGTTGGGGGTGATTAGGCGGCGGATGAATATGAAGAACGTGTGCGGTAATAACGTGTTTATTGGTTGTCTGTCACCTGTTAAATAGCCTCTTTAGACAATTTGGAAACCACAATGTCGTACCGGGATTCGTCCAATAGCTTTTGTGGTGCGAGCATGGCCTCTGTTCGAATAAACCACACTCGCGGAGAGTCCACCCAAAATTCGGGAGTTTTCGAGGTCAGTGTAATGGCTGCTAACTGCGGAGCCTGCAGGAGTCGGAACGCTTTCCACCGCTAGCTGTTGCCTGCCGGAACTTGTATTGATAGCCGTCATGACTGTGAATTGCCGAAACACTTGTGGTCAAAGAGGTTCATGGTCACTGTTGCGTCATTCCCGAAAAATCACGTTGCCACCCCCGAAAATCACGTCGGGCGGGCGTCATAACTATCGCATCGCGCCGTCGAAAAAATCACTTCGGGGTCACCACTGTTGGGGGTGCTTAGGCGGCGGATGAATATGAAGACCGTGTGCGGTAATAACCTGTTTATTGGTTCGTATCAGTACAAAGAGTATTACAAAAGACTGAAGATATTGTCTACATTATATTAAGCTACGTAAGCACTTAATACTGTAGGTACAGTCACGTACAGCCGTTACACTAGAAAGGAAAAGAATACCCTGACGGGCCCCGAGTCATTTACGGCTTACAGATGGTCTCCTGATGTGTAGTGACCACGGTTTCCCCTCCCTGCTCCAAAAGGATCCACCTGTCACCCCCAGACCCAGCGCTTATGAGGGAGGGAGATCATTCACCTTTACCTTTACCACCAGTGCTTAAGCCGCCTGCAGTACCTCCCGGTCGTACTTCGCCCCGCAGGAGGAGTTGGTCGGTTCGTACCATGGTCGCAATCAGTCACGAGGTCATGCCTCTGCTCCATACACGCTAGACATTCTGGCAGCGTGTAAAGAATCATGACCACGCTCTGGCCATTGTAGTGGCAGCACCTGGGAATTGGCTCTTTGCGGATCAGACACAGATGACCGCCAAAGCATCCTATGCGTCAGTCAATATCAGAGAGCCCATAACGTGTCTTACCGTCGCAATAACAGCTTGCCTGAATTAAGCCGCCCAAAATATCCCGAACGTAAAACTTTCACCTGGTATAGGATATTTGGGAACCAAGCGCTCTCATCTTGAGTGATTCAAATGATACGTACTTACGTTTAATAAAGTAATTCGAAGCCCATAAACATTTGGATTTATTTTCGTACACCGATCAATAGATGTTACTAAGATGAGATAAAAATACATTAGACATGCAAATTATGAAAAAGTTTAGTTTTCGTTTCGATTTCTGTTCTTGAAAATTCGCCCCTTGTACGGTGGACGCTCTGCACACTCGTACCCGGCGGCCCTGAGGCAGCGCTTTTCAAACTCCACGCGAACGAAGTCGCTGGTACCAACTAGTATTAAAATATAAATAAACCGCCAGGTAATATGACGCACGTGTAAGAAGTATAATTTTCTTACAGATAAAGGAGAAAATTGATATTATAGCTACTCTTCATACAAGAAAGCTTTTAATATAAATTTTGTATAATATTCTGTGAGAGTGTTAAAAGGATTTATCCTGATAGTTCAAGAATTTGAATAGTAAATTTTGACATACATATACTATACATATCAAGCTTAAACGTAAAATTATTGTTACTTCGGGGGTGAGCGTCATTTCTTTAATGTTATGTTCTGTTATGTTAAACATAATAGAATCAAGACGCTCACAAACTTATAAAGACTTACATTATTTTTATTGTTAGTCTTGAAAGTTTACATTACTTTAGCTTTATGCTGAATGATATCTTTGATTAAATAGTATATGTAAAGTATGAAAGACAAATAATTTATCATTCAAACAGCGTTTATTATCTTTGAAAGAAATAATTTTCCTTTTATACTTGCTTGATATGTTTCAACATATAAATTGTTGCATAACGAGCAAATGTGTTGAGAGGATGAGACTCTAATCTACTCCTCTGAGTAAATTTGCTTTACGACGATTATGCCTGAATAGTTTCGGATCTGACGAAGCACAAGGCAGGAGTTGAAGTGACCTCTTGTGTCAGTCTCAAACACTCCAATTATCATTAATAGCTTTATGTAGTAGATGTCCTTTCTAAACGCAAGCTTGGTAAAGGTACAGCACTACTCGGTCGGCTTGAATTAAGGGAAAAAATCTGGTCTTACCAATGTCTCAAAACTTCTGCGTTTGTTCATACAGATGTCCAAGATTTGTCAGGATTATGTTACATTTAAAACTTTGTAGTGTTTTGTGTTGGTTACCTATTGATTATATAAAGTACAAAATGATTTGACTAACTATATGACCGAATAAAGACGACGTCAGAGCTCACGGACAATTAGCTTTGGGCCTTTTAATTATGAATAATATTATGAACGTGCCTTTACTTAAAGAGCCCGTTGAAATAATTAGGCACAGGCGATGATTCATTACGAACAAAAGAGGTAATGACCTGCAAAACCGCGGAGTGATCTTACGCAATTAGTACAAGGCGATGGTTTGTTAAATGTATATAAACTGTTAATTTTTGAGGGATTTATGTAAGATACATACATTAAATTTGAATTAAATGAATTGTGCCTAAAATTTTAACCTACGATTGAGTTTTGCTGCCGCGCTTTAAATATTAAAAAGCTTTTATCTGCGGCTTAATTCGTGTAACAGTAGGTACAATTAAAATTAATATTATAAAATAAATTTCTGTTGTAATTTCTTTTACGTTGAGTAGCCAAAATCATGCCACCAAAAATCTGCAAACCTTAGAACATTTGTATCAGACCTTGTGAGGTACTAACTAAAAGTTTTGTGAGAAAAGTCTGCTATCGTCAACTACTGCCGACATAATATATATTATTAAATTTTTGTTGTCTCTAGAAAATATTAATATCATCAGCTCTGAAAGTAGTTAATGCTTTCATATGTAAGATCAAAGCATTAACTACTTTCAGAGCTGAAACGAATAAACGAATACACGCATTAGTTGTAAGTGAAGATAAAATAATAATGCTGTAATTTGTGACACAGGTTGCATTAAAAAAAAAAAAAACTTGAAAATACCTTCATAATGCGTTTCAAAAAGAATTAGTTCCACGTTCAGTTCAAGTACGGTGCAAATCATGATGTACTACAACATATGTATATAGCTTATGGCTGATGTTAGTTCATTTAATATAGATGAAGCATCTGGGTCAAATCCTGAACGGGATGTGGTTTTTCAACGAGTACTTCCGACAGCTTGTTCGAAAGCTGGTCGGCACTGCTTCTGCACTATGGCGGCTTTAGCCCAATTTAGGTGCAGCTAGCGTCGCGACAAGACGGCTATACATGGGGGTTGTCTGGTCAATGGCAATGTACAGTGCACAGGTGGCGGCTCTGACCGCCCAGAATAGGGTAAGCCTCTGGCGCTCTCAAAGGAAATTGGTGGTTAGAGCCATACGCGGTTACCGTACCGTATCGACGGAGGCCGCGTGCGCGTTGGCTGGAACACTACCGTGGGATTTGGAGGCAGAAGTGCTTGCCGAAGTGCATGCCGTGTATGGACGGCTAAGTGCTGGGCGGAGCCCGAAGAGGTATGCAAGTAACGTGAGGCCGCTCACCGAGCCACGATGGCTTCTATGTCCTTACCGGCTGGAGGCTCCACGTGCTAACTTTGTCGCCGTGGAGGCGCTCCAGTCAGTCATCGTCGATTGGGCGGCACGGGACCCTTTTCTTCTGTCTGACAGGTTTATTTCGGGATCAGCTACGTCGGGAAGTATCTAGAAGGAAAGTGAAGACTTGGCTCAGCACATGCTGTCAACCAGCTCGGGCGTCGCAGCGTCGGGTTCTCATTGCAGTCATCGGACAGGATCTCTCGCTACCGACCGTCAAAAGTGGTGCCCGCGATATTAAGAGCAAGCGCTGAGAGGGGTCCGGATGTCTTAATATCAGTTTTTCCCGGATCCCTCCTATCTCAGGCGCGGAATGGCACACCGTGAGGTTTTAGTCGGTTCGATTCTCACACAGTGCCCCACCGTATTCCCCGGGGTTTCAATAAATCAAGAAATGGTTCATTTAATAAAGAATTATTAACGTAAACATGTACTAATATTAGTTAGAAGTAATTTTAGTTTCTGTGTTTCGTTTCCTAAGAGAAGTGCACGGTTAATCGGGTTGAGAGCGTTGCCAAAATACTGGCGACGGTATCTTAGACGTGCTAGAATTGTTCCGTAGCGTGGTAAAACTTCTTTCAGCTCCAATCTGGTCCCTACGACGTACGTGTGAAAGCACGCCAAAGTGACCAATAGAATTTCACGAGTTTAAAAATGCTATTATTTATTTTACCAATAATTGATTTATTACCATTTCTATCCCAAATTTAACATCCTTTAATGTCATCTTTCAGGTTCAATTTAGAGAAAAAAATAATTACTGCGGACGCCTTGGTTACTTTAAATGTTAAAAATAATTATGAACTCAGTGGAAAACTTCTTATGATACCTGTTGATTCAAAAGGCGATTCTTTTATAAATTTGAGTAAGTAAAGTTAAATATATTATGTCAATAGCATGTTAAAAATTATAATGGTTGTATGCAATATATCGAATATAATCTTAACAATCACCCGAACTACATAATCACAAGCTCAGTAAACTTCTTGAATTTGATTTCTTTTAGAGATTTCCCCTCAAGAAGATTTTTTTTTAAATAATCTGTTGCGTGTTATAGTTGTATTACTTAGGGAAGGTTTGTCTACTATCAAGCAAAGAATTTTCAATTAAAACTACTTTTAACCACCCTGTTCAGTCATGAGCTTTTTAACCAACCAAATTAATCAAAAGCTCTCTTGAACAACCTCTATCAAACTGTTCAATTAATAATAGTACTTTTGACTGCTCTTCTGTTAAAAATATTTTACCAATTGATACTTTTGAATGTAAAATATCGAATGCAATTTTCAATTTTCAAAGTTATAACCCTTTCTATCATTTTAAATTAACCAATATGCTTTGTTACGAGTATTTACCAGTTCTATTATATTTCTTTCAGAAAATACACTTCTTCACATTCGTTACTGGTACGAACACGTAGAAGGGCCAGACGGTAAAATTCATTGGAAAATCTATAAGCATGACATTAAATATGAGGTGGAGAAAGGTTCATTTGGATTAGATAACCTTTTAAATGATAAAAATTTAGGTATGGTCTATAAACATATGACTGTTTTAAAATATAAAAATTGAAGTAACAATATGTATTAGGTATATTTAAAGATTTTAAGTTGTATCTTATTAGAGTCGTCGTATCGTATATTAGAGTTTATTAAGTAATTGGTAATAAAATTGCAAATACGGCACAAATTTAGAATCAGACAACGGAACAGAATATAAAAATGATAATATTTTGCTGGGTAAACAGTATTTGTCCAAACAATAACTGCCAAAATTTCGCAATTTGATGATTGATCGCAAGGAGATGAACATTTTGCAAAGCGATAACCGTAAAATGAAACAATTTATGATGAAAAAGTTTATTGTATGGACGAATTGCATGTTCTGTTGTTTGTGAATTAAGCTGATTGGCAATACTTCAAATACTCAAAACAGAAACAACACCCTAATATATTTTTTGAAGAAAGGGTCAACCCCTAAAAAAGTTAAATGGGCTCTACTATAAACGATAGCATATTTGAGTGATTTAAATGTCATGCCATTTAAATTAAATTAATGAAGTTTGTGAATATTTTTGATCGTATATGTTTGGTACTAATGGGTTACTGACATTTCTCTCCAGATGCAATTTTCCCCGAAAAATTAAATATTAAATCTAGTTGGGCTTTTTCCATATGTACTTTGCAATATAGGCAATATAGAGGTGACAAATGATCAAAAATATTGATATTTAGTTTCATGACATGAATTATGCAGCTTATTGAAAAACCTGAAACATTATCTAAATTTCGCTATAAATGAATAATTTTCGTTTATGAAACTCTACGAAATCTGTCGCAAAATGTTTTCTATCTAGATATTAAATGTTTTCAGGTGACCAAATCAACAAGCTTCTAAACGAAATGTGGCGTGAAGTTGTGGCAGAGGTAGGCCCGTCTATATGTCACGCCCTGGGTACCGCCGTCGTGGAAAATTTATCTGTGCTGTTGGAACAGGTGTCATATGACGAGTTGATGCCAGAATAATAATTTAATAATTTGAATGGTTTTTTTCATGATTTTTATTATATAAATTGTATAACTTTCATATGAAAATAATAAGATACGAACACTGAACTATTTACCGTCCTAAGAGTACTTAATGCATGTAGTATTTAAAAACTTAAAAAATATTGACACTATCAATAAATAATGTAACCGACGTTTTCCTTATTTTAAAATATTTGACTACTATTAGTTAAGGAGCCTGCTAAGTTAGATTAGGTTAAGTGTGAGCTCTGGTTTTTGACCACACGTCGGACTACCTCAGGTGGGTATTCAACACAATATAATATATCTCACACATCTCACACATGGCTGTCTGATCCCAAACTAGGCAGAGCCTGTACTATGGTAACCAGACTGCTGATAAATATACTTATATATTGAGATCATAAATGTCATCTAAACACACAAGCGCAGATGCTACATGCTCGGCCTTGGACTGGTGGAAGCCCAAAAATATCCATAATATATTCATATTAGTCTTAGTTAATTCTTGCATACATTGTTATAAGTTTTAATGTAATAACCAAAAAAGGCTTCTAATTACCTTATTTTATTACCTATATAAATGACTTGTTCATGGTTTATTAATTTCTGCTTCATGTTTATTTAAATTTATTAGAGTTAAGACACTAATATTTCGATACGCCAAGATCACGGTATCATTAAGGTCGTTTTAGCTTCTGTTCTGGATAGTACCATAAAGTGGCTCTGATACTGAAGACGTCATCTCACACACAGCAGTCTGGTCCCAAACTAGGCAGAGCCTGTACTATGGTAACCAATCTGCTGATAAACATACTTAATTGTTTCTAAATACATTCATATTATAGATAAATTACACCCAGACATAGAACAAATGACCGTGCTCGTCACCCAATATTTGTCCTCCCACGCCCTCCGGCTTAGCAGTCAGGGTCACTAACCACTAGACCAACAGACCCGTCAATCTTGGTCTTGAATCATTTTGTAGTCTGTAATAAGATCGGGCAATACATGCTTGGGAGGATCCTCTATGCCCGCATCATCTGGTACCTTGCTGGTGTCGGCGCCGTTTTGTCTGACGCTCACTTCGATTTTAAAGTAGTTGAGCTATGACGTCGGACTGTTGGACAAGGCGTTAGGCATTTAATAGTTTGCCATGAAATTGTTAGCCCGTATTGTTCTATGTTCCTCGTTCTTGGACCACACCTGGGGTCCATAGTATAATATCTTATCTTAATTACAGATCTTTCATTTTTGTTTAAAAAACGGCTCCGCATTTGAGAATTATCCCTTTATCGTGATGACATTAATCGTCATCGTTTGAGTTTAATAAGTTTGAAAATTTATAAAGTGTTTTATGGTATATTTTTGTGTATTTATAGAACTTATTGTTCTTAGTCAGTAGCGACTAAAGCTTCTGCCTAAACCAAAATTATTCAGTAAGAGAGATCGTATGTAAATTCTTAAATAAGCTTAATTTCAAAGTAGGACGACTTCAAACCTCTTAAATTATTTTTTCCTTACATATAGGAAATATCATTTAACCTAATTATTCGATGGTTATAACAAAAAGGGGTGTATCACATTAATGCGCTCTTTGCCTTTACAATTTTAATTAAACGCAACGGACAAGAAACTAAATGCTCGCTAAACCTTTATTTGTTCCCTAATTGCTGTTTTAATAATATCGGGTTACCTTTTAAAGGTCGCGTATACGTTACCACTTATTATAATAGTTTTTAGGCAAGCTTACAAAACATATCGGTTTGAAAACATTTTCTGTAATTCAAAGAAAATTGAGTTTCGTTACGATATTAATGATTACAGTTAACTTATTTTACCTGTTGAACTGTAATTTACATTATTTAGGCTATTATTTTCTTGACGTTTTAAATTTATTATGTGTCCATCATTGTCTTTTAAAATGAAACTAAATTAGCCAAACAGCCGAACATTATAAATCTTAATATTTCTAACTATAAAGTTACAAATCACAGGATTCAAATATAGATAGATAGAAAATTCTCTTTTATTTGTACATCGTCTTACAAGTAATATGATACATAAAAATGTCAAACATGCAATGTACAAAGGGCGGCCTTATTGCTAAGAGCAATCTCTTCTAGGAAACCTTAAGGATTTTATGAGATTTTATGATAAAAGATCTATCATAGCAACCAAGTCCTTCTTTGGGATAGTATCTATATATTGCAGGAAAAATCTTACTTTTATACTGCTAAACTAAAAAACAAACAGTTTTATTGGATCTGAAGAAACAATCGTGGTAATAAATAAAGTAGATGTAGTTATACGCAAATTTAATTAAAATATTAGTTATATTTTATTAAACATAAGTGTATGAAAGTGATGGTTGCTTTTATAGTCACTAAAAGGAGTCTAAAATTTCATTTGCCCTGAAATACGCATTATTCGTATGGAACTGAATTGTCTATCTTGTGACTGGAAGACATCATTCTTCGACATTCATCCAAAACCCTTAAATACCACAACAGTGGTAATGTTTCCTTGCTTTGGCATCTCGTGATTTAATTAAATTTTAAGTTCGTCCATACGGAAACCACAGCCCTGGTTGAATGTTATTGGATACCAACAGTTATGAGATGACTTGCCTCTATAGAGGTTTATTCTTGTGTTATTAAATATATTTCAATGGTTTTGATGAAGTTTCTATTCATTTCAAACAGTAGAATTGCAGTTAAGCTATTCTAATATTCAAGAGAGTTTTATTGTTTTTGAAATATCAAATTCTCGTCACTTGGTTGTGATTGCTGTACTTCGATTTTCTTGGATTTAGTTATAATAAAAGAAGACTATAAAAAAGGGATTTAAAGTAGCCAGTAACCAGCATAACTGAGTACTTTTCAATTTAGTAAATTTCCACTTATTGGATCCATACTACATTATTCTCGTTAATACAGTAAACTTATCATATATTCATAAATTTAGTAAGGAAGAGCAATTTGAAGAAATACCCTACTAGCAAGAGGCTAAACTACATTATCTCTTCTACACTTCAAAGTTTTTGCAATAATAATAACTATAATCATTATGGTTCCCAGTAAAATCGGCTTCAACTAAAAATTAGAAAATTAAACCAGCACCTCAAACACTCTGTAGACTAAACATTATATAAGCAACTGTAAACGATTATCGGGTATCTGTTCCATAAGGATTTAAAACTAAAAGTGCAATTACGCGACTGGAGAGGCAAAAAAAAGACAGGCGGCGAGCGAATATCTGAGTTTAAACGTAATTTACCAGAGATAAAGGTGGATGGAACCCTGAAACAATGTGCCCGGCTCACCGTCGACGGTAACGCAGATGAGATTACCGGGAATGGCACCCATAATACTGTTTGCCTCGGAGGAAATTTATAATGTATAAAATTGCTTATGGTGGTTTCAGTAAATATTAACGCCATTTTGAGAGGTCTGAGGTAATGCATGACAACAATGTGAAGTAATATCTCTCATTCGCTTATTAAAAGTGTGGGTTGTTAAGGTTATCATGGGTTGTCCAAATTAATAACTCGTACAAAATCTTAGTCAAACAAAATTTGTCATAAAAGGCTTTTATTTGTTTTTAATAAATAAATAATAAATTGCTTGTTTTTTTGAATTTTTACAAGTTACTTAAACTTTTTCACGTTTAGACTAAATAAACAAAATAATTAATTACTAAAAGCTATAGTTATCGTATTAAATTTCAAAATGATGTTTTGTTTTAATTTGACGATTATTATTTATGGTCTTCTTTTGATTGATTTAAAGTAATGAGTAAATTTTGATTTTTGATTTTCTGTGAACATTTAAAATAATAATCATTTGTAACAACCTCACACATCTCACATGCGGCCGTCTGATCCTATTGATTCAAGATATTAAAGAACTCACTTCTATTTGAAGACACTACCTTAAAATTATCACTACCATTATTTTTCACAATATGTACCCTTAACGTAACATGCAACAATTCTGTTTCACTTCCTTGACGGTTAAAAGCTTCTAGTTTCTTGAGTTTGTTAAAAGCCGTTAAAGCCAGTATGAATTGAGCCTTCACGGCGAACACAATGGACTTAAAAGGCAACATTAAGACCAGATTTTAGTCTTAAGTAAAGCAATGACTTGGAATCTCGGATTTATTCAACGTTACCATAGCAAATAATAATTCATAATTTTTCAAGACACGGCATATAAACCTCAAGACTCTCGTAACTTCGTCTCAAAATAAAAATCCAATCTTCGCTTTCTTGAGTACTGTTGGGGAAAATAAATATTTCAGCGCTTCAATACTTTCTTGTTTCCTCTTTTCACCTGTTATAATTGAGGGTTCTAAACTAAAATGTAGTCCCAGTGGCGCAAGAAATATTTTAAAGCGCTTTCGGCATCTTCGAAGGTAGTCATTACAAATGTTTGATTTTTTATTCCCAATGTATTATAATTATGTGTAAAGCTGTCAAAAATAAATCACTATTCACCAAAATAATACTTCAATGATAACGTGTCCTTGTGCTTGTGTCATCTAAGAATTTTCAGAACAATAATCTTAAATTATGTATATTTTGTCTGTAGAAACGTTGCTATTCCCTTTTGTGCCATTTTCACGATAAAAGTATTCTGCAGCTGGTGCCAAAAGAAATAATTTTGTCGGCACCACTGAGATTTAGGTTCATGATTTTGCCAGATAATGAACATTTTTATTACGCCTTATTTAACAGTTTAAGACCCAACTACTTGAAGATTTATAAACATTCTGTGTTGTGTTACATGTTTGTAAGTAACACTTAAAGGAGATAGCTGCCGCTTAATATTTTCCAACCCCACTTACTTCCAGACGATGCAAACCGCCTACAGGCACAAAAACAATTTACTGCTCTAAGACCAGTTTTAAAACGGTAGTAGGACTTTGCAAAGGATCCTTCTCTCGTACTTTTAGAAGTCTATTTCTATCACAAAGTCGTACCTGAGGGTAAAAAA